GGCGTCCGGCCACAGCGCGGCCGCCCCTCGCTGCTCACACGTCGATGTGTAGCTACATAGTTATCTGTGGACATCCACGCCGCGGCATTTTTCTCCTGCTTAATGAGGACTTGACTCGGGAGCGAGTGTGAATCATTGCCGGGGCTGGGAAAGGAGGAAGGCGGATTTAACCCCCTCCCACCCCGCTCCATGTCCGTGTGTCACTCGGCTCGGTCCACCTGGCGCGGCCGGTCCTGGGGCTGCTGCTGTTGCTGCTGCTGCTGACGACGAGGCCGACGGGGCTGTCGCTGCCGTCCCGAGACTTTCCTCCGTCCGGCCACACAGCTCCTGGGGATTGTTCCTCTTCGCACCAGACCTTCGGCTAGGCCGGCACTTTGGCTCCGAAATAACTTACTATTTTTTTTTTTTTTTGGAAAGCGCATCACGAACCCATCAAAATCGTGAAGGTTTATTTCTGTAGCTTGAAGACTTCTGCTCTTTTTTTTGTTTGTTTGTTGTTGTAATTTCTTTTTTCTTTTTCCGTAAACATCTGGGTATATATCAAACGGCAAGATGTCCAGTAATGTCCCGGCGGATATGGTAAGTGAAGGATAAGTTATGACACTCTGATTTAATTGTGGTTTCCAATCTTATTTAATCAGAAGGGACGCAGGCGTGGGGCGAAGGTTTGCTGGGGACTGTCGAAAAGCCACCGTACTGAGAGATTTGGAGAAGTTGGAGCTTCTGGTTTCCCCCTTTTAGAAAGTACTGCTTTTAATATGAGGTTTCTCATTTTGTTATGTTTTTAAAATCGTTGAAGACAGTGGAGAAGTAGGGAAATGGAGAAAGGTAGCTTGAAGTTATAACATCTCCCTCTTTGCTGGAAGCTTCTGAACACTTGTATTTTAACGCTTCTGAAAACGCCAGTGACGGTGAGCAGAGCTGAGGACGGGTGTCCTACTTCATACATAGGTAGACAGGAAACGGGAATCTCGCTCAGTGACACAGACGGGATCATTAATGCAGTAGGTACAAGCTTGATGTTTTTCAAGAACAGGGATGCACATCTCTTCAAGAAAAAGTATACTAGAATTTGCTGTCAGCTTTTCGAAACGTCTGGGTGAATAGGTATGAGAAGAGAAACATTAAGACGTTTTGGAATCAAATCAAGGCTGACTGTATATTGGTACTTTTAATGAATATTCCAGGGCTTTTTACTGCAAATATTTAGTAGTATTACATGTTAGACTTTGAAAAGCTAATGGAACATGTTATTGAGCTTTGATCACTGAATGTTGAGAACTTGAAAGAAAAAGTACTTTTGTTTATTGAGGCTTTTTTGTTCTTGTTTATAAAGATTGAGGTTGTGAATCTGTTGACTAACTGTAACCGAGTAGGCTTACAGCGCTGGGGGGTGGATTTGTATGAGTGTGAAATTATACTTTGCAGTCCTAAGAACAAACATAATGCAATTAACAGGAAGATGAATAATCCTGTGTATGAAAGAATTGAAGTTAATGTAGTTTATGCTTACTTATATTAACATTTGAGTGTGTATTCCAGTGAAAAACAAAATTGGACTTTGCTGATAATTAAATTTTAACATGTCAAATGTTTCTATATGAGCAAACCTCATTTACAGATTTTAAAATAAGAAAAATAAAATGACTCTAAACGGCATATTTGTCCTTGGTTTAAAAACATTTCGCTTGTGTTTGATTTCCCATTTAATGCTCTGTTTAAATGCAAAGGAACCACAGTGTTTGGTCTCTTGGGTGGCCACATGGCAACCTTACACTTTCCTTCCTGAGTCTTAAAACTCATGCGTTGTCTTTTTAGTTTTCCCTTCCCTCCTGGTGTGCACACATGTGAATAGTCTCCTGCTTGGTTAAGGATGACTGAACATGGTTTCCTCTAAACTGCTCTTGAAGTTGCCTGGAGAGGTCTCTAGACAGAGCCTGAAAATGCTATTTCCCCTGTTTGATGATTGATCTGTGGGCTCATAGCCTCCAGCGAAGATTTGTTCTCTCTAAAGGCTCCATTTTATATCTTCATGCACAGTGAAAGATATGTTCATCCTAAGTCGCATTTTTCTCTCGTAGAAGTTGTAATGAAATAGATATGTGTCATTAAAACAGAGTTATTAGTTTCTGTTGGCCCACTAATGAAGAAAAGCTGGAATGTGCGTAGCATCAGTCACAAATTGAAATGATTTGGGGGATTCTGTTTCCAAGACAGAGAGGGTAAGGAAGCTGATGTTGGAATCAGAAGACTGGGAAGTAGGGGCAAGGTTTTATTCATAGCTGCAGTTATAAAATATAACTGTTTATCAGTTTCAGATTGTATGTTAAGGCCTTGATGATTCTGTGGTGCTTTGAGATCCCTTGATTAAAGGTGATATGCAAGGGCAAAGCAGTATTATGTAATAAACATATAATGCCCTGATGATGCTATTTCAGAGTGTGTACTAAGGTACTACACAGGTTAGATTGTTCTGAGTATTTTTTATGTCTCGTTTTCTAGCTCTTCAACCTGTTGGAGGTTATGTTTTTTTGGTTAAAGCCTTTTAAACCTTTTTCTCTATTACTTACATTGCATTTTTGCTTAAGAAGTGCCTTCATTTGATATATGCCTAGAATTATAAACTTTTTGAAATATAACATGGTGAATATTGGTTAGAAGTTGTCAATTAAATGCTTCATATTTGTTAAACTCTTCATACCAATAATTGGCAGTTAATTTGAGATTACATTCATGACTTAAAGTGAGAACAATTTACTACTCTCAATCTTGAAAAGCCAGCCTCAGCACTCCCACATCTTTCCACAAACTAACATTTCCTCTGCAGCATAACTCTAAATTGATCAGGATACCTTCTGTTACAATCCACTAAACTTGCAAGTTTACACACATTTTTTACAATAAAATGTTAAGCTTTCTAAGTGTTGACAGCTAGTATGTGCTATTTTAGAAACAAATGCTACGCTCTTTTACATTTAAACGGTGCTTGTCAGTAGTATAGGAAAATCCTATTTGGGAGATAAAGTGACATGGAGAAGTTATAACCCCTGTCATGTTTTCATTAAAGAGAATTCATTCTTGAGCTACAGTAATTGCTAAGTCAATTGATGTTTTTGGTAAAGTCTTCTTATGGCTATGATTAAGGCTCACTTTAAAAATCGACTTTTTAGCATTGGGCTTGTTTTGTAAATAGGGTCACATTTACAAAAAAATTTTTTTAAATGTTCAATAAAACTTTTGTGTTTACCAGTTTATTTTTTAAAATTCAAACTTGGTCAATTTTTTAAAGGGGGGAGTGGCACCCCAGTAAATGGGTTTGCTGTACTCTTTAGAAAAAAAATTTTCAGTTGATACTTTTCCAATCAACATTCTCTAAGGTATATGTCCTATAATTATTACAAATGCGTTTACATGATGTATGGGTGTTTCTTTTGCTAAGAGTGATAGAGTTTGAATGAGATTTACTAACATCTCAGTGTAGTAACTTATTTGTGAAAAACAATCTGAAAATATCCAAAGGGAATATCATAATACATTTTATTTAAATAATTTATTTTTTTTTTCAGCCAAGATTATAGTTCATGATGGGGCAATATTCATTGCTTATAATTGTAGCTGACTTATGCTAACTGAGGTTTTCTGCAAGAAAATATTTACTGTCGATTTTAGTAATAAGGCCTAAGACTGGGTGAATAAAGTGGTAATTTTGCTTTCTGGATTGGAAAAGTTATCAAGAAATGCATTCTTGTATTTATAAAAGTATTATATATACCATTTGGTCTACTATTTAGAGCTTTGGACTAAAATGATACTTTATTTCTATTAAATTGAAAACTCTACCTAAGAGAAAAATTGACAATGTGAGAATAACGCCAAGCATTATTGGTATTTGAAACATTTTAGTTGATTTTTAAAAAAAGTTAGAAAAGCCCTGTGTCTTTATAAACTATGAATGTAGAAATTGGAGTAGATGTAACAATTTGTACTCTGGGGTTAAATGAGATAATGATAATTCAAGGGTTTTTTTTAGTACATTTTACATGCTTAATGAATATTTTCATTGTAATTTTTGTTATATCTCTTCCATTCATGGAAGAAATACTGGAGCCCTCTTGTGGACAGGAACTTGCTAAAATGAATTTCCTTTCAAAATGAACTTTTATCACTTTTCCAAGTTAAAGTAAAATGACAGATATAGATATACCAGGGGAAAATGCCATGCTAGAAAAAGGTCCAGGGAATAGAACATTTTTAACATTGAGAAAAGTATAATGAGATCTAATGCCAAAGGATTTTCTCTTTTTTAAAAATTTTTATTTTTAATTTTTTTTTTAAAGGTGACAGGTAAGGGGATCTTAACCCTTGACTTGGTGTTGTCAGCACCACGCTCTCCAAGTGAGCCACAAGCCGGTCCCTGGGACTTTCTTTCTTACAATTCCTTTTTATTTTTCTTTCTCTTGCTAGATTCTTATTTTATGTCTAAGTTGGGAACTTTTATGAAGCTAAAGGGTAGATAAGTAACGTTTACGTATATGTGTGTGACTTTATGAATAGCTTAAAGAAGAATATATTTCTAATTGAATGTTTTTCTAAATTGTTTTACTTGAGTGTGTCTTATATTTGGTGTTTTGAATTAAACATTTTTATTAAGAAAACAGATGACAAATTATTTCCCTCAGCTTTGAATGCCTTTTTCTTTCTGACTCTGAATCCTACCCCAGCTCGTGTCCCCCTCCTCTGTGAAATGGTCTCTAGTTCATTCTAGTCCAAAGTGATCTTTTTCCTTCCTAGAACCATTTTCCTTCAGAGTTTTTGACATTCTTCTTACACAGGTATCAAATTTACATGTAGAGAAGTACTGTATCTCATGTTTATTCTCTCACCCATAGTTTCTAAAACAGAATAGACATTTAAAACTGCTGATGGCTGGCCAGTTGGTTCAATTAGTTAGAATGTTATTCTGATAACACCAAGGTCAAGGGTTCAGATCCAGCCTCCAAAAAAAAAAAAAAACCAGAAAAACTGAGTGACTTTCTTGACTCACAAAGCATTCCTTTCTTTGTCACTTTGGAAAAAGTAAATATTGTTCCATACTACTACTACTAATAGTGGTATTAAATTTGAAATCTATGATGTCTACTTCTATTATTACTTTGAATATGAAAAATATTTTTTAATATTAAGGTTTGAAATTATTTTAAGTCAGTGGATAAAATACTGATGGCTCTATTAATTTTCATAGTATGGAACACTAAATTTTTTAGGAGACTGAAGCATACACTTCTTCAGTATGCTCTTTGATTTTCAAATTCCTGTCATTCTGGGGAAGAAAATTGAAAGTGACTGTAGAATTCATGGTAACCTGGAAACCCTCAATTATAAGTCATTCTGAATCGGTAAATTTTCTGAATATGTGAAGCTTGTGTTTTAAAATAGCTAGACGTAATAAATTTGAAGTACTGTTATATTTATTTAAACAATATACTATACATAATTTAACTTATTTTTGGTGACTTAGAGCCACCATTTGAATAATATTGGTTTTGTTCAATCAGAGTTAATTGGGTACCTATCTGTGT